TATCTGTAGATTTTGAATCATTTCTAATTTTTCATTTATTTTGTCATTTTGTTTTGTATTTTCTTCCAAAATTCTTTTAGGGTTTTGTCTGTTTTCCTTGATCTGTCTCTCAGTCCTTTGAAGACACCTAAATATAATTATTTTGAATTCCTTATCAGGGAGTTCCAATGCTGCTGCTTCCTCAGGGATGTGTTCTGGGTCTGTATTCTGCTGCCTTGTTTCTACCACTTTATCTTGCTTCTTTGTGTGGACTGTGATGGTTTGTTGTCTCTGAGACATTGTGATGTTGTTGTATTTAGGTCTCTGTTAACTCTTTGTGAAAAGCAGCCAAGGGTGATTCAGGCTCTTTTGGTGGTTGTTTATTGGAGGCCCGTTGGTGGAGAAGGAGTTGATGACTCTCACTCAGTAAGTGAAGGTACAGGAGGTGTGGGTGTAGTTATGTCGTATGGGGACTTTTGCTGTCTCCCACTCAGTTAGACAAAAGTAACAATTGAATAACCATTAAGAAAATAAAAGTAAATGGACAAAAAAACACACTGTATAATCACACAGGAACAGGAACCAAAAAAGAGAAAAGGGAAAAAAACAAAAACAAAACAAAAAACACCGCAATATCTGGGGAGAGGGGAATAAGAGAAAAAAGTAGAGAAGGAGAATAATGAAGAAAAAAATGGGAAAAATGCAAAAAGAAAAACAAGAAACAGGGTTACCCACAAGAAAGAAGAAAAAAAAATTGGAACCAGGAACAGGGAAAAGAAAAAAAAAAAGAAAACTAGAACCTGGGAAGGGAAGAATAAAGAATGATAATAAAAAGGACAAAAGTAATAATAATAGTAGTAGTTTTAAAATAGACAAAGAGAAACAAACTAAAAAAAGAGAAAAAAGAAAAAATAAATCTGGATAGGGCAGGGCAGGGCACCCAGGCTCTGTGGAAACACACAGACTGGGATGGAATTCCTGCCAGCCTAGACGGTGGGTAGGAGTGAGGGATGGCTGTTCCTCTGTTCACCAAGAGGGTGTGGGGTATAAGAGTAACAAGGGGAATGTCACACCTTTCTAGCAGTCCATGTGTTCCGGATGGCTTTGTGGTTCCCAGCAAGTGGAGCCTGTTCTTAAGTCCCTGGAACCTGGGAGAATTCTATCACTTTAAATATCCAAAATGGTCAAGCTGCTTGTAAACATTAAAAATGGCTGTGCCCTCTGGACAGGCAAAAGTCCACAGCTCAGCTTGCCTTCCTCTTCTCTGCTTCCCCTTTTATTCCACCAGAGCAGTCCTCTGTGCAGTCCCTCGCTAGCAGGGCTGATTTTTAGGTTAATTCTTAGGTCCAACCACCACTCGGCAATATCCAAGCTGTCTGTGCCATCAGGCTTGCTGCCAGACCACAGCTCCATATGTCTCCTTTTTTGTTATTTTCATGCAAATTCTTCTGTTAGCTGGAGTTTAGTCCACTTCTGTATCCTTCCTGTCAAAGCTCAGGGGTCCAGGATTATCTTCTGTTATCTGTGTTAATTGGTTCCCCTTTGTTGAAGAGGGTCTGTGCAGTCTTTCTGCCTATTCCGCCATCTTACCGGAACTCAGCATGGGTTCCCTTGGCAGGTAAGCAGCACCATCTTAAATTCCAGAGGGACCAGGTTCATAAGAGAGCCTACCAACCCCCTTCAAGTTACAGATGAGGAAACCAAAAACCAGAGTGGAGAAGCAATATGACCAAGACCATACAGCCAAGGGCCAGGACACTATTACATAATTTGAAGAAGTGAAACCAAATTCACTGCCATCAAGTCGATTCCAACTCAGAGCGACCCCCATTGGGTTTCTGAAGCAGTAAACCTTTATGGAAGTAGATTGCCTCATCCTCCTCCCACACAGCACCTGGTGGGTTTGAATCACCAACCTTCTGATTAACAGTCAAATGCTTCAGGTACTGCACCACCAGAGCTCCTTATGATTTGGAGGAGTTGTTGTTGGTTTGGAGTGTCCATGGGACCATTGCTTTAAGTGTGTGTCATCATCGGTTTCTCCTCAAAGTATAAGTGCTCCCTGTGGTCTGTGTCCCTGAGTGGTGCAAATGGTTAATGCCTTCTTTAACTGCTAACTAAAATGTTAGAAGTTCGAGTCTACCCAGAGGTATGTTGGAAGAAAGTCTGATGATATATTTCTGAAAACTCAGCCACTGAATATGCTATAGAGACAGTTCTACTCTGACACACATGGAGTTGCTGTGAGTTATAACTGACTCAATAGCAACTGGTTTGATGATCTGTGTGCACGTCTCTGGAGCAGTCTGGGTGGTGTTGGTAGTAAGCATGCCAACATATAGAGAAGAGATAGACTGAGAGAGGGACATGATGCAGCAAAAGGGGACTGGAGTGGGAAGAGCCATCTTCCTCTCAATAAGAAAGGAATGGACAGTTCAGATAAGCAGCCAATCCAGGGAGGGTATGTGCCACTTCTCAAAGTCTGTTCCCAACTAGCATGCTATAGGAAAGTAGACATGTTTGAGCATATTGAAAGGAAAGCTACCAAAACAGTGAAAGTTTTTGAAAACTTGTTATATGAGGACAAGATGAAAGAGTTATTTCTCTGAAGACTAAAAGTCTCACAGCGAGTCAGGGATAGCCCAGCAGCAGAGTGGTGATGGACTTCTAGAGCTGTCTACTTAGGTCTGAATCTAGGCTCTACTGTTTTCTAGCTGTGTGACTTTGGAAAAGTTACTCAAGCTTTCTGTGCCTGTTTTCTCATTTGGAAAATGAAGGTAATATCTGTATCTACTTCAGATAATATCTGTATCTACTTCAGAGCTTTGTAAGGATTAAATCGGTTAATATATCACGGTGTTTAGAAGAGAACCTGGCATACAATAAGTGCTATACAAGCTTTGGTGGTGTAGTGACTAAGGCATTTGACTGCTAACCAGAAGGTTGGTGGTTCAAACCCACCAGCCACTCTGTGGAAGGAAGACTGGGCAATCTACTTCCGTAAAGATTTACCACCCTGGAAACCTAAAAGGGGTTGCTATGAGTTGGAATTGACTTGATGGCAGTCAGTTTGGTTTTAAGCACTAAGTTGTAACAACAAGTGATGTAAGACAGCAGATTACAAAGACCTAAACAGCAATCATGTGGAACAGGGATTACACATGTTCCCTGAGACACTGGGAGCAGAACTAGGGGCAATAGAGGAAACTGACAGGGAGACAAGATTTCAAGTCAGGGAAGGGAATTTTGTAATAAGCAGAAATTTCTGAAGACAGACTTGTTTTCCCTGGGGGGTAGTGAGTTCCTTGTTGCAGGAAGTATTCAGGCAAAAGCCAGTGACCATTTGGCAGCATTGCAGGACTGCTGTCCAGGGCAGTCAAGCTTTGGAAAGGAGATCAGGCCAGTTGGCCATGAAGATCTTCAGCCCTAAGGTTCTTGGGCCCTCTCCATATGGCTCAGCCAGTTCTTTTCCTTCAAAGTACCTTACCTTGCCCAAATCGAGCTGTCCTGTACACCTCTTCCACACCGCGGAAGCCCAGCATGCGGCATACCACATCCCCATCCTTCTTGTCCCAGCCGTCGTCACACACAGTGCCCCAGAGCTGGTCATGGTACACTTCCACACGGCCCTCGTGAGGGCCCGAGCCGTTCACCAGCCTGATGGCCACAGGTTCCACGCCACCTGCTGGGAGCAGCCACAATGTCATTACCCAGCTCTGGAAACACCAGGGGCCCACCCTGAGATCTTCTCTGATTCCTATCCACCCCTGGGGCAAGAGGGAAGAGAGGGCTGCACCTAGGTCAGGAACTTGACCTATACAACTCATGGTTTATCATTCCTGTCCTTTGTTAGCTTTCTTTTTGCCACCTTTTGAGACCTGGCTACTCATAGCCATGCCTTCCAGAAAGGGCAGGGGAGGACAGAGAACTCAGTGACAGTGAGGATTTTGGGGACAGGGTAGCCTTGCTGCATAGCAGATGGCTATATCAGATGCCTGAGTTCTGTCCCTCATGTCTACTTCCCCACCATGCTATTAGCATGAAAGTGCTTGGAGCCAGGCAGACCTGAGTGTGTGTTCCAGCTCTGACACTTACTTTCAGGCAGGAGTTTATCAAATCTAAGATGCCACTGATCGTAAGGCACATCACTATGCTATACTACACTATGAAGGAAAAGCTCCACTAACTACAATGGTGAAATACCATCAACTGTTGATGCTTGCTGATTTCAGAGAATTGAAAATGAGTGTAACAGAATCAATGGAATATGGCACTATATGTAAAGAGCTTAGAACAGTGTCTGGAATACAGTAGGCAGGTGTAAGTTTGCTCTTATTTGTATATAAATGATTTAAAGGAAGTGTCTTAGCCTGTCTGAAGGCATTTCTTCCATCGGAACATGGGGGCAATGCCTAATTCACAGGGCTTTGTGCTGTCTAAATCAAATTATGTACATAAGGCTTTTAGCATGGTTCCTGGCACATAGTAGGTACTCAACAAATGCTAGGCCCCCCCCCCCCTTAATTGTTGAAACTCTGTTGAATTCATCACTAAACTAAGTGTTTAACACAAAACCTGGCTGTAGAAAATGAATAGAAAATGTTTCCTGAATGGATAAATGAATGAAGGTTCATTTTTGTACTAAAAAGCATTGCATGGCTTCTTGAGGGGATATACTTCGGGGACTCCGAGAATAGTGGAACAGCCAAAAGGAGCCTTGAGAACATCTCAGAGCCAGGGTTAGGCTGAGTCATAGTCTCAGAGTGATACACATGGTTAGTGCCAGAGCTAGGATCAAAACTTGGTTTCCAGATGTGTCTTTTAACATCCTATTACCACCCTGCCTGCTTCCCACTCATGGGGGCAATTTTCACCCCTCAGAGACCTGAGTTTCCTCACTAGCTAAGGTACTGGAATGGTCAGTGGGTCTTAAATCATGTCACACATCAAATTCATTAGGAATGCTTGTTAAAGTGCAGATTCCTGGGCCAACCCAGACCTACTGAATCAGAGTCTCAGGCAGGAGTCAGGGATCAGCACTTTGAACAAGTGTCTCAAATGATTCAGCAGCAATTAGTCTGTAAAGTGGCATTTGGGATGATGGGATCAGATGGGTTCCTTTTAGTTCCAACATTCAGTAATTCCAAGGCCAGGGAAGATATCAAGGTCATCTTTCTTGTAACCAGAATCTACCTGGGACATGTGGGGTCAGGACAGGGGCACTGGTCAAGTGGGAGTCATGATGCAGGGAAATCTCCATAGAAACTGTTAGCTAAAAACCAACAAATCCTATAAAATACTGCAACCTTGGACTTTTGGTGGGCTGAGGAAATCGCCATTCTAATAACTGCAACTTGGCAAAGAATACTCCTAGGCCCCAGAAAGAAATTTCAGAATCAATATGCCCCGTAAGTATGCCAAATGAGAAACATGAGACATCAGATACAGCCACATGCCTGTTACATGCTGCCCCACCCTGTTCTGATAGAGGAACCAGGAAGCCACCAAGAAACCACATCATTTCTATGCATGATGCTAAACTAATACAGTGTGAATATTTTGAAGGGCTCCTTTCAATATTTAATGCCATTTTCTATGCATTCTTCACCCTAATCAGATCCTTCTCCCCATGAAGATTTACTGAAAACACAAGCTCCTACCAGGCTATCAGAAAAGGTTTAGGGTGAGTAAAGGAACAAGAAGTCCTGAAGAAGAGGGAAACATGGAGAGATGCTGGAGTCCAGAGGCTGAGTTGGAGACAGAGAAACTCCCTTGGGGGCAGTGATGAAAAATAACCTGAAGCCAGTAGTATCAAATGAGTCCAGGCCATGGCTGGAGAGAGTGGCCCTTGGTTGGCTAAGGCTGTGTTGTCAGCTCTGATTTCCCATATATCTGCCTTCCTCTTTCAGCACTATGTCATGTGGACCTAGAGAAGAAGCCTCAGTGGAGGGTAAGTAAGAAAAGTGAGGGGTGGCAGGAGGATGCTGTGGACCCACAGGCATGTCAAGTTCAGAGTTCAGGGTGCCAGGTCAAAGTAACAGGAAGAAGCTGGGTATGGATGATGTTCAAAAGATTCCCACCTTATACTCTCTGCTCTGGTCAGTATGAACTCACTTCACCCCCATATTTGTTTATTCATCCATAAAACAAATGTTGATTGAAAGTCATTATATGCCTGGCCCTGTTCTAGGAGATGGGGATACATCCATGAACAAAGTCCCTGTTCTCATGTAGCTAATGTTATAATGGGGGAGACAGACAATAAATCCAATAAATAAAATATAATGATGGTCAAGAATGGTAAATGCACAAGAACAGACATGCACAGCCATGTTCATCACAGCACTATTTACAATAGCAAAAAGATAGAAGAAACCTACATGCCCACCAACAGAAGAATGGATAATCAATCTGTGGTACATACACACAATGGAATACTATATAATACTAAAGAATAATGTAGACCTAAACAACAAACAGATTAACAGTCCAATTAAAAAATGAGTGGAAGACATGAATACACACTTCATCAAAGAGAATATTCAGGCAGCCAGCAAATACACGAAGAAATGCTCATGATCGTTAGCCATCAGGGAGCTCTGGTGGCATAGTGCTTAAGGCATTTGACTGCTAACCAGAAGGCTGGCTGTTCAAATCAACCAGCTGTTCCTCGGAAGGAAGACTGGGCAATCTACTTCC